GAGCGCCTTAAAAAAAAAAAAAGGGGGGGGGGGGCACAGTGTAAGTGTAATGGAAGCTGCTGTAGGGTAAAGATAGGTAAAGTTGACAGACGTCATAGGGAGAGATAAGTGTTAGTTGGGAATTGTACTTTAATTCTGATTGCTAGCTCTTTGCTCCTATTTTGGTTCTCATTATTAGGGCCTTTTATGTCTTTCATTTTATTTTGTAGTTGATTTGGGGTCAAACTTTTTCTTTTTTACTGCAAGGTTTCACTTCACTTTTTTAGGTGGTACTTTGAGGTTTGAGTTGGTCTTTATTTTCTATTGGTAGTGCCTTAATGTTAGATTGAACTGCTTTTTTTCTATAAAATAGTGGACTTTTGTTTCAGGGGTGGTATTTGGGGAGTTTTCATTTCTTTTAAATAAAACAAAATGTCAACCCTGAAACAAAAGCCTACTTTCTTTTAAATGGAAGCCTTGCAGCAAAAACCTCCAAAAAGCAGTTGAACCTATAATAAAGGCAACCATAAAATAAAGACCAAAATAAACCCCAACATACCACCTGGAAAAAAACACTTTTGAAAATTCCCACCAGAACAGAGGCCAAAACGAAGGAATTCAAACACCTAAGGGGGGCCCTTAAAACTTGCGGGCATCCAGACTGGGCTTTTGTCAAAATAGAAACATGGAGAGAAAAAACTGCCAAGAGTACCAGTGAGGGTGAAAAGCATGACAAATGGAAGAATTTGGTCATCCCATATGTAGCTGGGGTGTCTGAGAAACTCAGAAACCGGGTTTTTAAAAAACATAAACCCAGCAATACACTGAGGCAACAACTGGTTGAACCAAAAGACCCAACGCCAAAACGCAAGATGAACAACATTGTGTATGCAGTTCAGTGCAGTGAGGAGTGCTCAGGATTGTATGTCGGTGAAACAAAACAGCAGCTACACCAGCGTATGGCACAGCATAGAAGAGCCAGGATTCAGCAATATATCTACATCTGAAGGAAAAAGGTCACTGAGAAAGCTGGTTGGATGACCAGTGAAACATCTTCTAGAAAAATACAGCAAGTCCAGTTGCCTTGAGTTAAAAGGGAAACCTTGTAGCAAACTTTTTGTTGTTGCAAACAGGACAGCAGCTAAAAGTCAAATCAATCGCAAAATAAAACGAAAGGCAGAAAAGGCCCCTAATAAAGAGAACAAAAAAAGGCAGCTAAGGGGTTGATTGCCCTAAGATCAACTGTCCTAATAGTTATTTACTTTTTCAAACAGAACCATGTAAACTACACATACTATGTTGGATGTGTGATGGATGTAGCTGCTTCATGGCAATGTAAAGAAGAATGTTAGCATAAAAACTGGCATTCTACGAAAATACGGTATCACTGTATGTGCACTCGGTATTTTATTAGCTTCAGAAAACCTGGGCCAGCACTAAAGCTTACAAATCAGACATCTCAGGAACATTCTCTTTGTAAGGCTCTGCTCCTGTCTTGCTTTCTCCGTTTCATTTTGTCTCATTTCCTTATTGTGCTATCTTTTTAGTCCAACTATTCCAAACTTTTCACTTTGTTGGTCATGTCTGTCTATCTCTCGTCTTTCTGCTCTGTTCTTCCCTGCCTTGTTCTTTCCACTAACCCCCACTGTGCCTATATTAGTCTGTCAGTTCCCCAGAGCGCCGCTTCAGACATTGATGTAGCTAGTCTTGCTCTTTCTTGTTACGAGTCTGCATCTCAGCTTTGCTATCATGTGCTGTTTAGCCTGCAGTCCTCGTCCTGAATGCTGTCTTTGTCTTCCAATGGTCCGGTCTCTTGGTATGGACCTCTTTTTTTGGAATTCGTTATGATAGTCCACAACGCTATTGTTTAAAAGACAACTATCATAATAGTGTATTATTTAAAATGGTATATCCTGCTATGTGCATGCAGTTATTGCATGCAATTATAGAATTTGCGTGTTTTTTCTTTTTACATGCCATTTAAAATGTTATCTTCATTTGCATGTACAAAGCTGTGCAGCAGAAGTGACAGTTATGCAGGTTGGACAGAACACTGCTGCTGTGCTGAGCGACTTCCTTTCCACTGTCATTTGCTCGCCACAGCAGCCATTCATTCAGTGAACCCTAGTATATCTCTCAATGAATATTAGGCGTTCTCTGCTTGGAGAAGGGGATGTACTTTATCAGTGCAGAAGAAGTCGATCAGCACAGCAGCTGTTCCTGGACCCGGAAGATCATTGAAAATCACCTACTACAGTGCTTTACAGGATCCCTGTGGCGCTGCCAGGGATTATTTATAAATACGTACATTGTGCAAAGCCAAACCAATGTAAGCATATATACATTTCTATAGCTGGAGTTTAGCTTTATATCATGTGATTAAAGGAGAACTATGACATGAGTGATTTCCACTCACCTCATAGTTCTAAGCCGACCTGTGACAAGGAGACTGTCACAGGTCGGCTCAGTAGATCGGGAGGTGAGGGAAAACATACCGGGTTCCCTCACCTCTCGATCCTGTCACGGCTCTCTGCCGTGACAGGGGGAGGGGCTGGATTCCCCTCTCCCCGCTCCGATCTGCCAGCGCTGACTGGCGGAACGGACGGCGGAGGGGGCGGGTACAGCTGGCTCTGCCTCTAGGTAGGCAGAGCCAGCTGTCACTCACGCAGCTGGGCGGATTCCGTCATCTAAGTCGGGATCCGCTCCAGGTGCGGCGTCTCAGTATACCGCGAGCTGTAGCTCGCGGTATACTGAGCTTAGGGTAACGGGAGGACGCTAGTTTGTGTCCTCCCGTTACCCTAAGGAGAACTATGGGGAAAAACACTGACCCCATAGTTCTCCTTTAAAAGGAAAACCTTGTAAGAAACCCTACAAGGGACCTGTGATTTTGTTGCCAGATTCTATCCAGTACACCACCAGGGAGAGACGCCCATCACTTTTTGCTAATCATTTTGGAAAGCATGATTGAAGAAAGAAGAAACTTGACATACAAGAGGAATTAACATATGGAATGCTATCACTGCATGTATATATGGCTTACAGTTATTAGAAAACATTTTTGTTTTTAGGATAGTTGACCATTAACATTTTGCTATTGCTAAGCTTAGTCTCCGTCACTCAGTCAGTGCACCTACAGTGTGCTTGGTATCTGCCTTGCCTTGTTCTTCTGTTTGTTCCATGTGCTTCTTTGGCTGCTCTGTCCCGTCCCCCCAATGTGGTGTCTTGTCTCTGTTTCCCACATATTGTTTGTCTTACATATACAGTATATTATGGTTATAGTTTAAACTGTCCTTCCACATGAACCGTGCATGTGTATAACATATCCCGGCCAGATCACTATCTGCAAGGAGTTTGCATGTTCTCCCTGTGCTTGCATGGGTTTCCAATTGGTACTCCGGTTTCCTGCCACACTCCAAAGACATGGTGGTAGGTTAATTGGCTCCTGTCTAAATCAGCCCTCTATGTACACGTATGCATGTGAGAAAGGGACCTTGGATTGTAAGCTCCCTGAGGGAAGGGACTGATGTGAATGTGCAACTATGTAACCAGGTAAAGAGAAGTCACTAGCACTCCAGCGCGAATACAAGTCAATATTTACTGACTACAAAGTCACATAATCACAGGTGACGTTTCGGAACCGCAAGGTTCCTTCCTCAGGCAAAACAGAAAGTAGGAAGGAACCTTACAGTTCTGAAACATCGCCTGTGATTATGTGACACTTTGTAGTTAATAAATATTGACTTGTATTCACACTGGAGTGCTAGTGACTTCTCTTTACCTGGATTCATTTTGCGGAAGCATCCGCTGTCATTTTAGCACCCATCTGAATTTTCTGGGTTCTTTCACCGGTCAGGAGTGCGATGGGCTTCTACGTGTTTTGAAATATGCTGCATAACATTGTTGGCGCTATAGAAATACCTATAAAAAATATATATACCTGTATGTCGGGCATACAGTTCACATCCTGAGCTAATATTTTTTCCCCCAAAATAAAGAGAATTGCATTTTCTGTACGCACCATACAAATATTTTCTCCAAATTCACTGAGGATCACAGTGCTGCAATAAAGACCTTTGGATTTATACAGCCACCTGCAGGCCGTTCTTGCAGTGTCGTGTCCCTCAACAAACAATGGAGAAAATTGTTTTTTTGTATTCACTATAAAATTCTTTACTCTGAATTTATTGAGGGACACAGCACTGCAATAACGACCTGCAGGTGGATGTTTAACTAACAGGTATTTATTGCAATGAGAGGCATACTTTTTTAACCAAATACACATTTTTAATGTGGGTATTTATTTATTTAAATACTGTACTGATCATAGCAATTATTATGTCTTAAAATTGTAGTTCAGTCTTTAAACAAGACAAAAACGCATATGTATTGACAAAAGTAGCTTTATTTGCTTCTATTGTACAGGAAATCTATAAAGAGGTTGGAATATTTATTTAGCAGATTCCAGCATGCCAGTACAGTTAGGTTTTACAAAATAAGCACAATCTGAACAGAAAGTGCATACTGCTGATGCAAAATAGAGATAATGCCTCTGTCGTAGTGTTGCTGAAAGAGAGCATCAATCATAGCACGCTGTAAAATATGGAACCGTGAAGTAACTAAAAGGGTTACAATGATCGCTGTTTGTATACACATATCTGTTCTGCCATTATCTTCTCTATGTTGCACATGAAAATGCCTGCAGAAAGGCATGCAATAATAGCGGGAGGTCTTCACCTAATTAGTTCTTCTGATGATAGTACCACTTGTCCACTGCATACAGCATGGAAAGAAAAGAAAGAAGGGTGGTAGGGAGAGAAATAATACAATATTACTCATCTATACAGACAGAAAAATAACTTATAAGCTTATATAAGCACACATGGTACTGAATCCTTTTAGAGATTAACAATTGACTGCTTTATCCCTATAATAAAAAGGTTTACATTTGAAAGGATACATAGAGTAGCTGTTAATGAATATTTGCATTACAAAAATATGTGTGATGCTTTAATAACTCAATGCAGAGAGCTCAACACATTTGCTTAAATGTAGTCATTAGGGGTTTAACATTCAAACCATTTATGCTCTTAGTGATTTCATATGCTAGAATGGAAGGCTAGAAAAATGTAATATTTGTCTACATTAACATCAGCAGAAAGATCAATCCCTAGAATTCATAAAGAGTGTCATAGACACTCAATAGAAATCCATCTCCCATCCATGCAACAAATGGTGCGACTTGCATCCATGTAACCGTTGGTAGTGTTTATATGAAACTAAATTGCTTCAGATAGCATTTTGTCTGTGATACAAAAGTTACATGTGCAACACAATGTATTCCAACAAGAAAAGGGGTCTTATTTACCTACTGATAGGATGGTATTTCTTAATGAATTGGTGCAGCAATAGTACCAGAAGAACACGTTGCACATTAGAATTACCTGAATTTATTACACGGGTCAGAAACGATTGCATGGCTTTCATGAATTTGGCAGTGGACTTTCTAATACAGCCTTAAAGCCAGAAAAGTGTTGCAAATGCTTTATTTAATGTGTCCCAATATGTCCTTAAGTCTAGAATTGTCTGAAATCAGTTATTGCTTAGCTGGAAACTTTATTGAAATACATTTCTGAGCATGCAATAAAGTAAAGAACATTTGATACCATGAACAGTAAGGCCAATAGTAATCTGCACAATTGTATTCTAAATGTCTTGTTCCTAAGGGTCTGTGCACACCTAGACGACACATCACCGCACGTCAATCGTGCACGATTCCGCCCGGTCAATAGTCGCCTAGGCGTGCACCGATCGTGCTGTAGATGTGCCATTATTTTCTAATTGCAACCTAGTCGCGCCGGGCAGATTGCGCTAAAACAGCCGCGTGTTGTTTACCTTTTTTCTGTGATTGCTGTGCGGATGTCACCCCATTGAAATCAATGGGGCCGCACGGCAATCGCGGCTTGCATTGTGCAGGACCGTGCAATCCCAGGACTTGCGTTCCCGGATCGCGTAGGCCTGCACCTGGCCTGAGTCTACTGCATTCTAAGTCCAGAGTCCACAGTCTGTACTGGAGGGCAGGCTCATAAAGAGAACCTGTCCCCTCCGAAGGCTATGACACAGGAACTTGTTAACTATATTGCTATCGCACAGGGGTTAAGTGAAAAAAAATAAAAGAAATTAAAATTTTAAAAAAACTGATAAAAAGTAAAAACACAGAAAACATTATTAATGATAATAATCCGCAGAGCCCAACTTGAGACCCCCACATGGCTTGAGCGTGGCGTGCGGCTTGTGTGTGGAGCCGCGAACAGGTAATTAAATTGCTAGATAAAATCTTATAATTTGAGGAAGCTGAACCCCCCCAGGAAAAAAAATTATCTACGGCCCTGTTCACACCACACAGCCTATGTGACAAAAGGACATATCAATTGTTGTCAATGGCATCTAAGTCCACATTTCCTGTCTTTTCTTTCTTTTGAAGGTAATAGCTTTCTGCAAATTCAATACAAAATGTATAGGCGGAGTAGGAAGATTATAAACCTGAGAACTATAAACAACCTTTCTGTCATGAATAACATTCAATACATTTTTTTGTAGAGTTTTGTTTACAGAGCACTAAAAGAACCCCTAGAAACCTCACAATAGGAAACACATGTATAATAATGTAATTCCAGGCTTGCACATACAGTATAGCCTAGATGTGGAACTTTTGCAGCTTCATGTACTAAAACAAACTGGTGAAGTTGTCTTTGTATGTGGGATGCTCTGCAAGTTTCAGTGCTGCATTGCTTTTGTATCCTTAAACTGTGCTCCATAAAGTCTGGTAGCGACTATCAAGTTGAAGGACATCCAGCCCCTTTCTTAGTGGTTGGGCTTTTAGAAACACAACCCCACTGGCTCCGTAGTTGGGCTGTCAGAAACACACCTCCACTAGGTGTTGCCACTGTGCTGCTAACGTCATGATCAGGAGTAGCAAGCTAAATGCTAGATCAGCACTGCCACTGCTAGTAGAGGAGTTCTCTGCTCCCCCACCACCACCCACATGTCTGCCCACACTTTCTCCAGGAATTCTTAATAGCATGGCCACTGACTGATGGCTTGGGGCCTTTGGGAGTTGAAGTCTAGCAGAGAACACAAAGAGAAGGAAGATGCATAGGGCGGCCTGGCAAATTCAAGCATTCTTTTTGCAAAGTGCCAATAGGATACAGAGAGAGAGCTACATTTAAAATTAGTTGCCTAGACTTCTGCTTAAATTTAATATGCTCTGTAAAATAACAAATCATGAAGCAATTTACAGTCTACATAGAAACATTAAGTCCCTATGTTAGAGGAATTTACAATACAATTGCCCTACCACAGTCATACAAGCACATACATACTCTATAAACAACTAGGTCTTAAAGGAGGACTATGGGTCAGGGTTTTCCCCCATAGTTCTCCTAAGGGTAACGGGAGGACACAAACTAGCGTCCTCCAGTCACCCCAACCTCAGTATACCGGGAGCTAGAGCTCGCGGTATACTGAGCCGCCGCAGCCGGGACGGATCCTGACATTACTGTCGAGATCCACCCAGCTGCCGGATTGACAGCTGGCTCTGCCTATCTAGAGGCAGAGCCAGCTGTGCCCGCCCCTCCCCCATCTTTTCTGCCAGTCAGCACTGGAGGATCGAACAGGGGAGGGGGGAATCCCTGCAGGGAGCTGTGAGTGACAGTCATGGCTTTTTGCAGGGATAGACCAAGAAGTGCTCGAGCGACACTATGTGTTCGCTCACTTCCCGATCTACCGAGCCGACCTGCGACAGTTTCATTGTCACAGGTCGGCTAGAACTATGAGGCTGAGTGATTTTCACTCGCCTCATAGTTCTCCTTTAAGCCAACTAACATACTAGAAAACTTTTGGACGGTGGACCAAAATAGAGTACCTGGAGATAACCTGTACAAAAAGAGGTGCACCAAAATGGAAATTTGAAAACCGAAACTAAACCGAAATAAAAAAAAAATTGTCAGGCCGAAACCAAAAATTTTTATTTTATTTTTTTCAAATTGTTTTAATATTATTTCTTTATTTATTTTTTACAAACCTTTTAATGTTTTTATATTTATTTTTTAATTCATTTTTTATTAAATATTCTTATTTGTTACTTTACTTTTAGGGGCTTCTAAACAGACCCCTGATATTTCCCCTTTAAAATAGAAAAACCGATTGAGAACACAGAGTCCTCAATCTCTTTTTCTGCAGCCCCTGTTATCAATGAACAGGAATGCTCTATGAGTGTTCCTGTCCATTCAAACCATGAGAACATAGTATTACTATATCCACAATCATAAATGAACAGGAGGTGATGAACACTCCCATTCATTCATAATTGAGGATATAGTACACATACCATGTCCTCAATTATGTAGACACAGAGCAGCGCCCAGGGGGGGGGAAAGAAAGCAGGGATGCGCAAATGTATCAGCAGGAAAATGGCACTTTCGGCATTTAGCCAAAAGTGCAATTTTCGGCCGATATGTTTCAGTGGCCGATATAACGGTGCATCCCTAACAAAAAGCATGCAAAATAAAGAAACTTCTGAATGCATTATCCATCTTTGATATGCTTTGGTAACCATACATTCAATAGAATCAGTAAGAATTTTCCAATCTGCATCAGAGAAAGATGGAAAAATGGGTGCACTTACCGTCTTCTGGGATAGGGCTTGCAGGTCCAAATGGAGGTGTCTAAAAAAAGTTAAATGAAATTTGTGAGAATTGTAATTTACAGCAACACTTTATGTATAAAACCTTGGCATGAAAATGTTGAGTTATTTCCTATAGGTCGGCTGTCTATTTCTGTGTGTAAGTGCACTTAAACATCAATTTTCTGTTTAGTACTAGCTGTCTCTTTCCGGTACATGAAAAGCACCAAAAGCTTGTGGGATGATGGTAAATGGAATGCTTGCGAACTGAGACTAGAGATCTGTCAACACAACAATTAACAAAATAATTAGGTTCTAATGAGCCTCCAGGAGGAAAAAGCCCCCTAATACAACCCCCAAAAACAACAGTACTCCATTTTAAGCCAAGGTGGGACAGCAAAAATGTTGTTCTGATTCCATCAGCGAAATATGCAGACTTGAATCATTTGCTTCTCTCATTAGTGCACAGATTCATAGTTTTGATATGGCTTACAGGCAAAAATAATTGCTTGCAAGAGAAGAGCACAATTACTCTGTGCTGTCATCAATGCTGCCAGCTTGGCTAATGGGGAAGAACTATAATATAGGACATTGGTGGAAAGATGCAAGGTGCAATTGGCTTCCTGTATCTAGCTGAGAAAAAATGATTTGATATTCCTTGCAGACATTTTGTACAGAGATAGATAGATGTGTATCATTTATTTCGAAATTCTAGTAAATATGTTTGAACATTGTGCAGCAGACTCATCCACTATCACAGCCCAGGTGAGAGGAGATTAGACACTTCTCTACAGATAAATACTGTTTTGTTATACTACTCTCCCAGTTTCCAGCAATGACAGTCTACAGAGGATGGAAATCTGCATGAGCTTGTAGGCTATTCCATCACGGAGACTGAGCTCTATAATTTACTACATAACAATTAGAATTAAATCAGCACACTATTGTAAGACATTTTGCGGATACTGACGTGCATGCCTTTACAAACAGACAAGAATATTTTGTTGTATAGTTTAACCATTTTATTTGCTCCTTTAACCCATTGCAGTAGTGTTCAGTCTTTTTTTAAGTGGCCCTGTCGCTATAATAAACAAGCCAAAGCTAGCCATACCTGTAAAAGAAGAAAGTATACAATACACGTTTACCTATTCTTCTGCCCTCTACAGAGAACTCTGGTCCGTTGCTGAAAAATGATCCTCCAAAGTCCGCTGGTAAACAGACACTTCCGGGAGTGTCGACCTCTGCGGTCTTTGACAGTTCTCACTGGTTTCTCCTACTGAAAAACCAATGAGAGCTGATGTGGAGGTCAGCAGGCACAACTAGTGAGAGCTGTGTGGGACCATGGAGATAAACACTCCCAAACTGCCTGTTTCATAGTGGACCTTGGGGGACCTACTCACAGCAACAGAGATGAGCTAAGCAGCATGGGCATCAGGAGATGCAAGTACTTACAGTCTTCATTGACAAGTATAGCATGGATTTAGCATGTTTAATATAGACAAATTGCCAATCTATACAGATGTAGAACTTTTTTCTTTTTTTACAAACACTCACTGAGGGGAATTTATCAAAACTGAAGCAGATGTTCACTGCAACCAATCAGCTTCTCTTCAGTTTGTCCAGTTAAGATTTGAAAATGAAAAGGTGGATGCTGATTGCTTGCCATGCACAACTGCTCCAAATTCTGTCTGCTCCAGTTTTGATAAATCCCCCCCCCCCACTATGTATACACGTATGCATGCAAACTTGCAAAACTGTGCCCCGTGGTATATCTGTAAAAATAAGTAAAGGCAACTGGACATGCTGTATTGTCACGATCTGGCATCAGGTCTGGAGTTCAGTAGCTGAAACAGCAGGCAAATTCGTGGTAAAACAGGCCGGGTTTAGTACACAAGCAGACGGTAGTAGTATAGGAGCAGGCAGAAGCGTAGTCAGCGAACAAGCCGCGGTCAGTAGGCAAAGGTATCAGGTATGAAGCAGAAGACGATGAGAGCAGTCGGTGAATCAGCAGCCAAAGGTCGGTACACGGGTAGCAGTATGAGCAGATTGTATCACAGAGGGAGCAGGAAGCAAGATATTGGCAGGAGCACAATAATCTGGCAAACAGGAAGTGCAGCGGCATGGCTAAAATAGGAAGTTCAAGGGAGGAGCAAAGAGTTCAGAGTAAGCAGGCAAGGAGCTGTCCAAGGTTTCAGAGTGGCGCAGCAGGTAGAGCCACCGCCAGACACAGCAGAGGCCCTGGGTTCAGATCCGGACCCTGACATGTATTTTTCTTGAAGACGTTTCACGGGTGACCAGTAAAACGTCTTCAAGAAAAATACAGCAAGTCCAGTTGCCTTGACTTATTTTTTACAGATATACCATGACCTGGATGAATGAGAACCTTCACAGACATGTGCCCCGTGGCTTTTCCACAAGGTCTTACAGCCCTTGCACAAGCACAGTGCAGGACCTGGGATTCTTCGTGACCTCTTGATTTCAGCTCTGCTGGCTGAAGAGCCCAGAGGTCATTGACTTTACACACCTCCCTCTAAGTTTGTCATTAAGCTCCTACATTTGATCTGGGGTAGAAATCATTACTGTGTGGCTCCTCCTAGTCCTGTCCTGTGGTCTACCTTCTCATTTGTTGACAGGTTCTTGGCAAAGAATAAAATAAAAAAATTACCTAAAAAAAATCCTGTGAGAAAAAAATACTAAAGTTTTTCTTTAAATGTATAAAATAAAGAGTAAGGAATTGGATAGGGATTATTTTTGCATTACCAACTCTATGGCAATCTTCTACAGTGGTTTGGTTACCAATTGCTTCTCACTTCTAATGCCATTATCACAAATTATAAAAGCTATATAACATATGTCATGTCTCTAGCATATCGTTTTAATATAGATTGCTTCTGTCCCTTATAAATTTGATTTTGGGCTTGACCTAGTGGCCAAACTGCACTACCCTATATTACTGCAGAAACCTGTTTAGCATTGTTTGACCCCTGTTAGGCTTACTATGTCCTACAATCCCTCACTCAGAGAGGAAAGAGGTGCAGCCTTAGAAGCCCAGTAAACAATTTGAGGATGGCATGTGGAAAAAGAAAATACATTAATGTCCCCTTTGTGGCAGGATCACTGGTGAGCGCAGGATAGTTACATGTCGGAAATAGGTTCCAAGACTTCTACATACATTCTGACTTATTGTATAATAGGGGGATTTAGCTGCATGTCAAGCTGCACACAGACCACAGGGTAACATGTGACTAGGACAGAACATGCACAAAGAGTGGACCAAAAATGTGCCCCAAATAGTGGCACAAAGAGGTGAGAGGTAACTATTACTTATACACCCGTCTCCTAATACTACCTGCGTGCAAAATGCTTGTGTGAATTTTTTTTACATTACACTTTAAAGAAAAAAACATTTTGAATATATTCAAGTTGGCTTTGATCGAGTTCAGAACTTACAGCGTTCACAATGGCTTGAGCTTCTTGTTGTTTGCAGATAAAAGGACTACCATCTACAGTGGTGTTAGTGCTAAGGCAAACCAAACAGAATTTGAAATATTATTATTACAGGATTTATAGGGCGCCAACAGTTTGCGCAGCGCTTTATAATATAAGGCAGACATTACAATCACAATACAATTCAAGACAAGATGGTAAGGAGGGCCCTGCCGGTGAGGGCTTACAATCTAAAAGAAATATCAGTTATTTAACAGACAGATACCCGATGGCTTATATGCTTCTATATGTGCTGTTTTGTGCTGTTTATAAAACGATTTGTAAAGCCATTCATTTATCCAGCGAAACTGCATGTATATTCGTTCTGTGTGAATGACCAGCTTTTCTGAGAAAGAGGCAAAACTGAATGTTCTTAGGCTATTTCCTCTTCTGGTCAAATGTTCTTTAAAGTGACATTAATCCCTCAGATTTTTTTAACATAAACAAATACTGTAATGTGTGCCTTACTGTAATCCATGGTTGTTTCCCTTCTCTTTGCTGCTCTTCCTTTTAAATCTGTATCTCTTCTCATGCTGGGCAGAACTTCTGTTTTGCAGCAGACTGCCTTGTCTCTGAAATGGATACATGGTGTCTGTGTGAAGGTTCACAACCTGAGCAAGCACTACAGGAAGAGGCACTCAGCTGCAAAGGGAAGTTATCCCCAAGCATGAGAAGAGATACAGATTTAAAAGGAAGAGCAGCAAAGAGAAGGGAAACAACCATGGATTACAGTAAGGCACACATACCCTATTGGTTTATGTTAAAAAATCTGAGGGTTTAATGTCACTTTAAATATTATGCGTGGTAGTAAAAATAGGGTGATTCATAGGACCATAGAGGGAAATCATGACAATACAGCATTATGGCTATTAGATGGAGCTGAGCATCATGGGAAATATAAAAGTCTTAGTAACAAGAGATACAATGTAACAATCCTAAAGCAGGCTGGAGGGAATTAGCAAATAAAGGTTACCATTGATACTATGGGGATACCCATAGTAGCAATGGTAACATTTGTATGTGTTATGTAGGCAACTGGAAAGCTCAAATGCTTAAAAGGAGAACTATGGGGTCAGGGCTTTTCCCCATAGTTCTCCCAAGGGTAAGACACAAACTAGCGTCCTCCCGTCACCCAAAGCTCAGTATACCGCGAGCTACAACTCACGGTATACTGAGACGCTGCAGCTGAAACGGATCCCAACCATTATGTCTGGATCCACCTAGCTGCGTGAGTGATATTTGGCTCTGCCTGTCTAGAGGCAGAGCCAGCTGCACCCACACCCTCCCCGGTCCGTTTCGCCAGTCAGTGCTGGAGGATCGGCCAGGTGAGGGGGGAATCCAGTCCCTCCCCTGTCACGGCTCTCTGCTGTGACAGGATCGAGACGTGAGCGAGCGCAGGTATGTGTTCGCTCACTTCCCGATCTACAGAGCTGACCTGTGACAGTTTCATTGTCACAGGTCGGCTAGAACTATGAGGTGAGTGGAAATCATAGTTCTCCTTTAAATATAACCATTGCTACTATGGGAATCCCCATTGTAGCAATGGGAACGTTTGTACATGTTATAGACAACTGAAAAGCTCAATTGCCTAAATTACACCCTGATGTCTTGGGACATTATTTTGAACTCCGACTAGCTTTTACAAACTAGCAATTTTATGTAAAAGTTTTATGAAATCTGCAAACCTGAAGATGACTCTCACATATTAAAATAAATAATCACACAGCCTAAGAAATCTGAATAGTTTATTTCCTGCAGAGATTCTGGCACAGTATTTTTCTGGAATGATGCTTTGGCTCATTGCAAACAGGTGTTAGTTTCACTGCATGACAGTATCATTGCCAAGATAATATAGTATTTATCGTTGTGATAATATCAATGTTCACCTCAGGGTTAGGGCTTCGCATCAAGTTATGGAATTAATTTAGAGATTATGTTGAGATTAAAGGTTATTCGGTTATTTTTGTTAAAAGTACCGTTAAGTGGGGCTACCCCCGCAAGGGGTAAGTGCTCGTTTGTCTAGGGGGTCCAAATAAAGCTGATCCTGCGGTAGTCGGCACTCACCTCTCGCTCCTTCTGCTCCAGCTATGGAATGTCACTCTGTGCCCTCATGTCCAGTGTAAGTGAAAGGACCTATATAAGATGTGATGATGTCAGCAGTCCTTAGAATACCAGAGCCCAGTGAAGGGACGCTGGGACCGGGTTAGCAGCCTGGCAGGACTGAGGAGCAGGTGAGTATATCCGCTTTGTTTGAATGGGATTTATGGTCAGTCGGTGGGGAGCGAATTGTTTTGGTATACGAGGATCTGACACTAAAACTATTGCAGCAAAAACAACTAACCTAAATTTCAGAAGCTAAAAACTAAAGTACTTTAAGCAATTACCTCTTATAAATGTTATGCAGAATATCAGGTGTACATAGAAAACACATAAATTAATTATCCATCTTCATTCTGCTATGCTAGGCTACTAATGTGTGACATCAAATACAAATTTCTATGGTGAAGGAAAACTTGATGCAATATAATTTTCTCTAAGTTAGATAATAAAAGTTGACAACTTTTTCAATAATCGATTATAATCGATTATGTCGATTAGTTGTTGCAGCCCTAATAGCTTCAACAAAATGAATGCTCTAAATAAGGTGACAATCCTAAGAACTGGGTCAGATATATTTGTACATAATTCTTTTAATATGACAATTGATGATTCTCTCCAGTAGCTCATAGACATCTTAGTACCGGTAAAGTGTCTCATTGCCTCCTAGATATATTCAATAATCCATTACAGCTTGAGATATGAAAAATGACAGTTTTGGTAAAGTGTTGTAACTTCCCTTAGCCTAAAATCCTAGAGAAATGATATTATGATGTTCAGACCCACTTTACAAATTGTTAGATTTCCCATGTACTGTATAATAAGTTAAAAAGGTAGCAATGAACAAAGTATGAAAAGTATCCATATTTTCTATCTTTACCGGATGGAAAAAAATATTGCAAACACAGTAAATGGCAAAGTTATATCTTTAGAATGGAAACAGAAGAACATTGTTTAACAACTAGGAATCCTCGTTACAACTTTAATTCAGATGGGATAACAATATAGCATGATTTCTATTCTTAGCTCATCCATTAACAATCAGGTTACATTTTTCAACCGACACTACACTTTTGCTCATGCATAGATTCTAGACAGTTTATTGTGCAAGCCTCAGACAATATTTCTGGATCGATATGAAAAAAATCCATCCATCCAAAATGTGCCTCATATGGTGACAGCTCAAACACGCACTTCAGTAAATTATCCTTATTTTTGTTTTACCCAGTTTCTGTAGATGTTTTACGTTAAAGATATCTAAAGCCCAATTTTTTTTTGTTTATTTGGATAGAGTAGAGGAGGGTAAAAACTGGTGTTTTTTGGCCATATGTGTCTCATTAGGGAGATTTACGTTCACTTCCGGTTCTGTAGATTCAACAGTAAGTGAGAAGATATATTTCCATTATGAGGAAAATTTCCTCTTAGTTGTCATGGGAACAAGTGTCCCCACTGGAAGAATTACCCTCCATTTCATTCTAGTAGCAACTCAAAATTTTGGATTAACCCCCACTTTTATACTCCCTTTGACATTGATGATCACAGACAATTAAAAAGGGTGAATCTCCCCAACGGGACACAAAAATTAAACACTTGACCTCACCACTTTATCCAAATTTTAAAACAAATGCTTTGGCTTTATTTAAGCTTTTACAAATAACCTAAAGGTTTGCAAAAGTTATTTCATATATTCCCCAACCAACCTGTGATTTTGCTTCTAATACCTTCTATGAAAAATGCCTGCTGTACAGATAATTGTGCATTTCTTTGATTATTACAGCTTCCTAGAATATTATTTTGATATTTATTCTGTAACATATCTGGCAAGCTGTAAAGCTGGTATTTTAATCAAATTAACATTAAGAATGAACAGCTGTCAATAAAACCTGCATCCCCCCAAAAAGGAGTTTTGATCTCCAGTTGTGACAGTAGATGGCGATCCTGGCTTCAAATTATAGCAAGGACATTTTCAGTTCATTCATAAAACATGATTGTGTGTGTTTGAATGCAGAGCGATACAGTAAATGAATGTGGCTTGCTGCAGCAGTTTCCAGGGAGAAAGACAAGCAATGCAGACTTTCTAGTATACATAGAATATAGATTGCAATTAACAGAATCCTGCCAGCATAGAAATCCGCACTTGTTTTTAAGGGCTTGTTCACACGACGTCCGGATTCTGACCGGACCATGCCATGCACCCAAAATGCATCCCAATGTATCCCTATGTGTTTTATGGGCTACAGTTCTCACGAGCGCAGTCCGTTCCGGTCCAGACAGAAAAAATACTGCATGTCACATTTTGTCCGGTCTGGAAATGCACGAACGTGTCAAAAATGCGAAACGAAAATGCACTGCAGCTAACATACTGACAGCCCCACCCCAACCAAAATAATAATAATTTTCTGTACTTTTCAGCCTAAAACTAAAAGCCAAAATGTTTTTTCTTCCTCTAAAAACTAATAATGGTTTGGTTAGGTGGCCTACAATGTCACTGTTATTAAGTGTCACTACCTGTCACAAATAGGGACAGCGACATACTTTGAGCAGTGCCGTCATGAGGGAGATAAATTACAAAGATTAACCCCTTAGAGTGAAAAACAAATCTGCAGATCAGCTGCAGATTTTCATTGTAAGGAGTTAATTTTTTATAATAATTATAGTATAAAAATATATTTATATATATTTTTAATTTGTAAATTTTTTTTTTACACTTTACAATTTTTTGTGTCTATTATATTAAGCAGTCACTATGACTGCTTGCTAATTTAATTTTTTTTTTAAATATTTGGTTATTATTAGGCTGCGCCAAACTTAGGAACAGCCAATAATAATCTTAATGACACTGACCCTGACAGCATGACAGGATTAGATCTCACTAGGCTTCTGATGGTCCTCAGACGATCAGAAGCTTGATATATTTCAGCAAAAGAAATACATTGTTTCTTATTGCTGAAATGTATCCTTTCGTGAAGAATATATCTTTACAAAGCCTGTAAACACGGGACTTGCCCGATGTCTACGGAGCTGTCAAAAGTGAAATAGCAAAGCGATGAGTCATGTCCTGGTTCTACTATTTCACCTGTCAAATGCCGATCACCGGTATTTGTAACAGCTTCTTTCATTGATGAAAGAAAGGAGCTTTTCCAAAAGCTTAACTATTTAATTAATGGATGCCTCAATACTGAGGCATTTCAAAACCCTGAATAGCTGCTCACGTACAGTGTATGTGAGCAGTCATTTGGGCACTTCACAATGGAGACATACAGTGTACGTCTCCAGTCGTGAAGGGGTTAAACAGTTGTGAATTTATTTTTGCATGTATCTCACAGGCCTGATGAAAGGATCTTACACGGCAAAACAATGTTGTGCTATGTTTTGATTTTAAGAAGAAGATTTTCCAACAAGATCCTATGGTATACTGACCACATATTTTATTAGGCTCTAAATGAAGCTAGTCACAAGTCATTGCAGAATTTCTATCCAACATTTTAATTGAATATTTGTTTCATCAGCTTTATAGATAAAGGTACCTTGCATTATAATCGCTGTGCATTACTAGCCTTTAAAAGTGATTCTTGTGCTGTACAGTAAAACATTCAGAAAAGTAATATCATGAATACAGGAATACTGAAACATATGCAACACACATCACATTTTTTTCCTGTGCAGCAATTTATTACATTACACCCAAGTTCACTTACTTGCATTGATTTAAAATAAAGGCAAACAATTAAATCTCATATTTGATTTTTCTGTTCATAGGGAGGCAGACAGAGGTGTTGCATATTTTAATAATGCATTAAAAGCCTAAAAGGGCAGATGTTTGAATTAAAATTTAGAGAAGGAGATACAAAATAATGCATGCCTGGGAAAACAGATAATATTTTCAAAGAGATCCTCATGGCAGCCATTCCCTTTCAGGTATTCTTTGATCAGAGCAAGTACACACATCTTGATTTGAATCATCAGGAACACAGTACTCACCAGTTGATTTCTCCTCCATCTGACTTTTTGGTTACTAGTGCCTTCCAATGAGCATGGGTACATTTAATCACATCTATTGCAAACGCCTGTGAAAAAGGTATACATTATAAGTTACCATCAAAGGAATTTAAACAGCCAAGTGCATCGCTTTATTCCCATCTTTAAACTACAATGACTTTCCAGAGAATGAAGAGAAGACATCATTACATTACATTTATGTTCAATGTGCAGTCTAACAGAATTCACTGTTCACAAAGGCTGTTATAAATCAAATACCGGTACTACTTAAACATGGGACACAGGTCTCATCATTAGTTTGTCAGCCGTTTCAGAATTCAATCTTCTAGCACAAAAAGTTATTTTAATGGAATTGCTTTTGAATTTGTACTTCATCACACATTCCAAAAAACACTTTTATCTGTTTGTGGTGATGTGGCGGGCACACGCCTTACCTTATTTTTGAATTCTGCATTAAAGGCAAACTGGTTCTCTTGTTTTCCATCAGGAACTTTGTAACGTCTAAACCAGTCAACAGTGGATTCCAGATAACTGGGTTTCAGTCTTCTGACATCTTCAATGTCTAAAAGTAGATAAAGCATTGTTTTTATAGCAAGTTAATTATATTAAAGAGGAACATTATCCATATCTTTAAAATAACAACAAACACGTTCAGTAATGACAATTTACAAACAGATACTTCTAGATAATTGCCGACTTTGTATTCTTTGCATACCTCATTTCTCTTTTCCTCCTTAGTCTTCTGACAGTGGTCATGTTAACTAAGGGCAGGTTACTATAGATCTCCCTTTACTTCCTGGAATGTTGACTCAGAGGTAAGTGTGATGCATTATATCATTTAAAATATTGATTTCTTGATTTTGGGTAAAGTTGGGGGCGTCTTATACATGGGGGCGTCTTATAGATGGAAAAATACGGTACATTTCATCTTCTTTTTTACTTTTCAAAGTATTTTATTGGTTTTTAACA